TGCACAAGGAACAAGTGGCTGGAGAAAGGTGGGGTATTTCTCTAGACAGCACTAACCTTCTCCTAGGGTATCACACCTGTGCTCCAGAAAGCATGCTAGCGCTTTTCATTTGTTGTCCCAAGTGTCAATTCAATTTAGAGGTAAAACCCGTATTCCCCAGGCAGCTTCCAGCACATCGTTCGTGCCTGTCTCATGTAGTGCTCTTCTCAATTGTGCAATTGCTTGAGCATTTCACTGGTCTTGTGCGTATACAGGGACTGTAACCAAAAATGTACATCGTTGGGAGTCTTAACACTTGTTACAATGATAAGTATAGGCGTGGATACACTTTGGTTCTTAATGTTGTTTTAAAGTCTTTATGTATTGGAACCAGATAGTCTTTTGAGCCCTTTGAAATACTATGTATAAATGTATTGTGTTTTAACTTATTGTTTATTTAATTGCTTTATTGTAAATTACCTTTATAATCACAAGTTCAGTAAAGCATGATAGATATGTCAAACGTGTGAGTCTTTTATTGGAGAAAGGTATAAAAAAGTACCCCATTCTAGCTGAGCTGTCAGGTACAGGCTGAGCTAGAGGAGGTACTGTATCAGGTACTGTTCCAGGAGATCAGAATTAGACTGAGAAAACCTGAATACAGTTCCAAGTGTAAGCACTCACCAGGCTGATTAAAGGCTCCAGCTGGGCTGCAGTTGCACACACAGCCCACTCTGTTGCCTCACACTGGCTTCACAGATGCAAGTGACCTAATCTTTAACCCAGTGCAATCATCTGGAAACCTGTAACTCCTCAGCACTGCAATGCCAGAACAATACCAGTCTTTCTGGCATTTTACCCATCTGACAGTCATGTGGTCTCAGTGTGCATGCACACTGTGACCATCAAAACATTAATTCTCCATGTCCAAAACCCAATGCTACCCAACAAGCAAAACAGTGGGGTTTGTCTGGCTCTACCCAAGCTTTCAACCCCACCTCTGGCCATTTAAACCTCACTGGCCTCCTGTTGTCCTCTTCACCAAAACAAGTGTAGTATTTCCTTGTGTTCCCCAGAGAAGAAGGAATCCAGGGAAACCTGACAGTGCCATATTATTGCTCTGCAGCATTTGGGAAGGAAGTTATGAATACTCCACAAAGGAGTATAATTGGCCATGTGTGGGGAGCATTTGCAACACTCAACAGGGTGATACTGATATCTACAGAGGTGACTTGCACACCTTTCATGTCCCTGTGGTGCCTGAGTGGTGAATTATTTTGTGTTTGCAGTAGAGATTCTAGAGGCTTCATTAAGCATTACATTAAGGAAGGGAACTCTAACATATCATTTGAAGTAATATAATCCCCATCTAACAGAGATGGACATGAGAGCATCTTGCTTACATTGCCATAACTTTGTCTTCCATGCTCTCCCACCTTCTTGGGTACCACAGCCATCTGGCTTGCCTTGTGACACTGCTGCACTGCATATTACTCAAATGTCACTTTCAAAAGCTTTTACATTATAGGGACACTAGGGCAAACATTACCAGTTGGAGATATTATCAATATAAATTTTACACAACCATGGAATAGGCAGATCTCATAACCAGAACAATGTCAAAGTTTCTTTCTGCCCTTAAGATTCTTCAGTCAGTTCAACTCTCCTACATTTAACTACTGCTCAGCTCATCGAGAGGTGACAGCATTCCAATCCCATTCCTGATAAAAGCCTTTGCTGTGATCTCTAGCTAAAATTCAGCTCACTTCTAAGCTTCCACCTTTCCTCCTCCACACTGCAAGGACATAGACAGCTCAAAGTACCCTTGTAAGGGTACTTTGTAAGACCACACCTGAATTACTATAATGCACCAGTCCCAGACTTTGGTCTTTGTTCCACGATTCGGAGAGGATATGCCAGTTGGTGCTCCAAACATACCAAGTTCACTTTTTTCCCTCTAGTATTACATGAAAGTCTTAGTCATGTCTCACCTGAATCTCACTGGTGATGTACACAACTAGGGGAGGATCACCAGCCTACAAACAGTTCAATAGAAACTCCCATCCTTTTTTTCTGAGTTTAGAAAATGCTCATACCCACACCCCTACCTCACTGGGAAGTCTTATCTCAAAATACGCAGGTGAGGAGGACATGCAGCTCATACATTATAGGTAAAAGAGTGAACACTTGAATTCGGGCTTAGGGCATAGGAACCAAATCAGCTTCTTCCTGGGCTGAGGGGATGCATGTTCATAATCCCACTATACATTTTATTTCTAATCCAGGGACAAAAAAAGCCTTTCTTTCATATTCATCTTAAGCAGTACCCAACATGCCCTGCTGTTGAAAATGTTGAGGTTCAGGCATTTGACTTCCTTCCCACTAGAGATTCATCTCTATCCTTCACAGAATCACAGAATGCATCAGGTTGAAAGGCACCACAATTGGTCATCTGGTCCAACCTCCCTTCTCAAGCAGGGAGCACATGGCACAGAATTGCATCCAGGCACTTCTTGAGTATCTTTAGGGGTGGGGAGACTACAACCTCTCTGGGCAATCTGTTCCAGTGCATACTCAAGTGAGGAAGTTCTTCCTCATGTCGAGGTGGAACTTGCTGTGCATCAATTTCTGCTTGTTGACTCTTTTCACCCTTCCTTATGTCCTTTTCACAAGGCTGTTCCCAACTTGTAATTACACATTTCTCCTGCCTTTCCCTGCAAATCAACTCTCTCTTAATCCCAAACTCCTGAAACTTATTTAGTAGTTTTACATATGCCCTATATAAGTAAATATTTAACTCCAAATCCCTTCAGACAAATGAGCACAGGACCTGGCAAGCACAAACAACTACAGCACAGTCAAGGAAAGGATTTTCAGTCATCCTGCCAGGTCAATCCTCCACAGTCAAGAATATCAGTGAAAGCAATAAAGTCCAGCTTTCAGCCAAGAAAAAAAGAAAAAAAAAAAAACCACATGGCCAACAACTAAAATATGAATGAGAAAAGGAGGAGCATATGGCAGTAGAAGGGAAAGACAAGAAACGCATACAGGGGTGTACAGGATCTTCAAGAAACTCAAACCAATGGAAAAAAATAGTATCAGAGCAGCAGCCTCAGTAAGCTTAGCAAAAGTGTTTTCCTATTTATCAAGGATAAAAAAAATCAATATTTAGGAAGGAGGAAAGAAGAGAGACCACAGGAGAAAGACAAAACTGATACTAATGCATGGGCTATCACCATTCAAGAGACTTCCTCCAAGAGCAGAGTCCTCCCTACTGGCACCATGTCAGCACAGGGCAGAGATGGAGGAATCTCCAGAGCAGCTGTGCTCAAATTTAGCAGGTAGATGGAAGAACAGCAAAGCAGTACACAGCAGGAGAGGAGGGAAAAGCAATGCAGGAGGAGTCCCAAGCAGAAGGTGGCAGAACTCAAGGGTTTTTAAAATGGCTGAAGGCTCAATGATCAAATGTGCTTTCATGATGTATTTAAGGGGCTTTATTTGCAACTTAGTAACTCGCCCACCTGTTGTCATTTTTAATAAATAGTATTGATTTACATCTACTTTATATTGTCTCAAAAATAGCAACAGTAATCACTAATTTTCTAAAAGATGAGACATAGCTTCCAACAATTTCACATTAAACAGGCAGTAGATAGCCAGTTTCCTTGCCCTGTGTCAGCAATAGTTAAAGAATTGTGACTGGTACCTCCTTGCTTCTTGAGTGCTGTTAAAAGAACAAACACAGATTGTAATTAAACCTGATTCATAAACTTTCTCACCTCCCATCCCTTGTCAAATACTTTGGAGGTGTAGTAGGAGAAGATTTGCTTGCCATACTGCTGCAGTGAAGTCTGCACTTGAAATAATCTGTTCTACTCCAGCCAGAAGACTTGTGCAGAAATCATGCATGGCATTATTGGCTTCAAAATATATTTCAAAATTTAACATCTGAAAATTGCTGTCACATCAGTTGACCTGTGCAAGATTTGAACCTATGCGACAAGTATACTTAACATTTTTTAAAAACTTTTCTCTGGGAGTAAAGCCATTAAAATTAATTCTTACTGTGTTGTTTTCTCAATTACTTATACTCTAAGCAAAATTTGTGCCAGAACTTACTAGAACTTAGTTACAAATTCTATTTTTGTAGGCAGGAAAGATCTAGTCACATGCCCCCTCCTCCCCTTCCCATTCTCTTACAACTGACACTTCCTGGGCTGTCCCTGGATGAACAGGAAACAAGTCTCCTGTGCAAAATGCGCCGATGTCACTCACCTGTCATAAGGTAAGAAATCCATACAACCCACAAATCAGGGATAATAGCACCCACACAACAGAACCTGGAAAAAGCATTCACTGAAGCATTGGGCTGGATGAAGCACCTAGACCCCAACCCCCTCCCATCTCTTTCCAGCAGACATTGAACTTTTTCATTAAAGCACTGTTTCCTTCTACTGCACATATACCATTCATGCTTCACCAGGGGAATTACAGAGTAAACACACACAGAAAGTGTGCAAAAAATGGAGTTTGAAAATTGCTTGTAACTGAACTGAGAATTTTCACACTAGCTTTATTAGCAGAAGACACAATTTTCCTTCTTAATTACACTAACTATGCAACGACTATAAGATGTGAGGATCCCTATCTCTAGTAAGTATAAGAATTTCTACTAGAAATACAAATTTACCAATACAAGTAAATTACTAAAATGCTCCCTTACATTCGCATTAACCTTTTGTAGGCTGCACCACTCCTGTGTAGTGATGCCACTGCTGGCAGTCAATGCAGTGTCAAGTGTAAATGGGAGCATAGGAAGCAGCAAGTGACAAAGTGACAAGAAATCCACTTTCAGTGTTCAGCTGCATAACCCACCAGGAGCACATCTGGAGTTGCAGGTCATCAATAATAAGTTATTTTCTTCCACACAGTATGATCTCCCATGGAGAACTTTCAAGTGTTTACAAATACTTTCATAAAAGAGCAAAAGCAGACTTTTTCATCAGGCAGGAAACAAAAGGTTCTTTAAAACTGTTTAATTACATGTTTCAGGTAAGCACAGACAATACAGGTAGACTTCCCACCACTCAATATTTACATTCTTTTCTCTAGGCTTGAGCTGTTCATTTAGAGTGTTTTTCAATCAACATCCCTGTCAATCACTTGCTGCAAAGAAGGGTGCTGGAAAAGAACTATTGCAGGAAACATTCCATCAAGGCATGATTTTCTGTAGGGCTTTTCTTCTTTAAGAACTACGTACTAGTAGTTCAAGATATTTTGGGAAAATCCTGGCTTCCAAGATGACCTGAAGAATGCATTGAAACCAAGCAGTGAGTTGAAGTCCTATAAATAGTTAAATCAATACCAATATGTATCTTGTGGAGCTGAAATTCTCTTTTCACTGGCACTGCCATTGCTGTGTGGCTTCTGTTAGGACAGTTTTACACCAATTTTGTTTTGTTCCTTTTTCATTAGCCTTTGTGCCTCTTTCTCCATTTTCTTTCGCTGTTGTTCTGCTGCTCTTTTTTCCCTTTCTGCTATCTTCTGTTGTCTGTAATTAAAGAAAACATGAATTGCTAAATAATACACAATTTTCAGCATGGTCATACCTTAAGTTCCTGTCAATACATAGGTTATTATAACTAATAAAAACAGAGCATCAGCCTATTGTCATTAGGCTCAGAACAGTCCTTCTTTTACTGTGCTGAAGTCCTTTTTTTGGATTAATCTAGAAATGTAGAATATTCTGAGTTGGAACCCACAAGGATCATCAAAGTCCAACTCCTGGCCTACACAGGACCATCCCCATGAATCACATCACATGCCTCAGAGTATTCTTCAAACAATTCTGGCAGGCTTGGTGCTGTGACCACTTCCCTGACCAGCCTGTTCCAGTGATCACACTCCAGGTGAAGAACTTTTTCATAATATCCAACCCAACCCAATCTAGTTTTAGGCAGTAATATTTGTTCAATTATTCATCAATTTAAAAGCCACTAGCTTCTCAAAGATTCAGAGTAAATGAATCAGTGAGAGTACATGACAGTTGTAAGGCCTAGAGGAAAAACTAAAAATCTATGTAATACTTTCAGCAGCAGCTCAAAAGTTTTGAGTTTTTGCTGGTTTAGGGATATTTTTGAGTTTGTCACCCATTGCTGTACATTCTACCTGACAGCTGACAGAGCTGTCAATCCAGCAATATGCAGAGTAATAATATTTGCCACATTACAGTGGCAGATTTTTATATTTCCCACATATCTGAACTGATGCAAAAAGGAAGAGGCACTGTGCTTCTTCACCAGCCAATATACAGAGACAGTAAAGTTCCAAAAAGCCACATGTTATTAATGCTGCTGTTCACGAGCAGTTCTGAAGGGAGGGATCGTGGCAGCTCCTGTTTCTTTCCCTAGGATGACCCACAGGACATGGAGCTCCTGTGCACAGCAGTGGTTTCATCACACCCTCTACAGTCTGGGAACCTGCACTCAGTTCTGCCCAGAGAGAGACCTTCAACTCACCTCAGACACAGCAACTGGCCAACAAAAATACAAGTAGCTGTTATAAACTAAAAATGTGTGTTCAACTGCTTCCACTGGGATGAAAACTTCGTTGGTAATATTAAGTCTGAAGTTGTAGATAGGTATCTAATATTTGCCGATGAAACTAAGTTCCAACTAACTCAAGTTAACTGAAAATGCAGTTTTTCATCCACTATACCAAGTCACCACTGACTGGAAAATTTCAGTGTATCCCAGCTTAGAATCTGTGGAAAATGGGGAAAAAAGAGACTACAGGAACTTCTCATGCTCTGATAGCCTACTCTTCAGCACTTTCTGCATGCCTTAATTCCAGGGAGCATTTGACTTACTATATGTGCTCATTTCAACTGTTATGCTTGTACATAAACTCACCAGAGAGGCCACAGGACAGTCTTCACCGCTAATTAGAAGGACACAGCCCACTTCTGCATAAGTAATCAACATTCCATTGCTACACAAAAATTATTCTGGTCTTACTAAGCACCCACAGGTACCAGACACAGCAGGCTAAGGGAGACCCTCACTTTTTCTGCACACTCATTTCATTCTCCAAAAGCACCACTGGAGTACAGTCAGCATTAACACTCTGGAACATTAGAGGACTGTCCTCTATTTGGCAGTCTGAAATATTATACAAGCTTCTTTCAAGTGTTACGCTTACACATTAAGTCACCAGAGTGGCCACAGGATCTTCAGATCATTTTGCAGATCAAGATGCAGACTTCTATCATTAAGAAGAGACTCCATAGCACTTCCTTACTACACTCTGTTGAAAGCAGAGTCAGGCCTGACCAGTTTTATGTTAAATGTTTTGCTTAAGTTTTATGTTAAATGTCAGATGTTAAAAACACCAGTGATGTCTACTGCAAGAGAAATTAAACCAGTCGGGATTTCTTTATCAATGTTGCTAAAAATCAGCCAGGACTTGACTCATTTACAGATAAACATTGTTATTTCTGTGTCATGAATAAAACAAAGGTTTTACTTCACCCAGCTGGGATACAGCTTACATAATGACCAGCTGTATATAGAGGTAGCCAGCCATAGCTGGACAAGCAGTAAGCCATAGACATCTGGAGTTCTAATCGTACTTAATCTGCTGGAAGTATTTAGACACACATCCCTTTTATAACAACTGCAGTTTGATATTTTAGTGAGGCCAAAAAGAAATCCTATGAGAAGTAACCATTTGAGTTGAACTCTTTCAACAGTAAAGATGGTAGGCTGAAATCTTTAGGATAGGTTCAACCAAATATCATGACACTTTGAAAAATTAAAGCTTTTGGGAAACCCCACTGCTATCACCATGTAAAAGATTGCTCTTCCTAAGTATTCTAGAGCATGAACCTGACTGTTGGCAAACAATATAACTTAGCCCATCCTGGAAATATTCACTGCACAAATTTTACACTCCAAGAATAAACTGGCATATACATACACCAGGTAATTTAATAGCTAATTCACGTATGACAAACCACCTGTAATGGAATGTGGCAAGGGTTAAGTAAATACAATGCAGCATCTGCAGGTGCAAAAGTAGCTGCATTGTATTTACTTTACTTTTATTTCTCCATAAAAAAACAAACAAACAAAAAAGAGTATTTTCACTGCACCATAGCTATTAAAGATCTTACTGAGTCTATTGATATTCTTTACAGGAAAAAGTACTATCTGTGGAACCAAAACAGCCCAAAAGCACATCTTTCATATCACAAAGCTTGTACTTCAGTACAAAACCTGAAACAGTAATGAAGTTTAAAAAAAAAAAGACCAGGAAGGTTTTGATCAGAATGTATTCACCGATACCAGATAAAGTTTACAAAAATATTTGCATTACAACACTATTTTCACATGTTAAGCTGCTGCAAAGCAAGACTGACAGAGATAATAAATTGAATAAATTCTAATTATGATTAGCACATTGAAAATGAGCTGGTAACTTCCCTGTTGTCTTATTCCACAGATTGAAAATGTAAATTTTTCAAAACATTAAAATAAACACTTGATCAGATTCCTCTCTTCTTTCCCCCACAATACCTATTTTCCTTAGAATGATTTTTGACTATATCATGTCTTTATTTCACTAGTGGACCACAGAAGCCATGTGCTTGTAATTAAGTTAGTAGAATTACAACAGCCTAGGAAGCTAAAGCTATCTGAGGCTGGTTACCTGACTATGTAGCAAGCAATAAAATTTGATACAACTGTAAGTCACTACCAGTTCAAATCATTGTGTATGATTAACTTAAACTTAATTTGCATCTCTTTACTCTCCATACCCCTTAAAGGAAAGGAAAAAGGAACACAAACTGAACGGCTGAAGCATTCACACTAACTCTGTGCAAGACTTTGATTTTACGTTCAGCTAGTTTAGTTAAATTAGAAAAGCCTAGCTCCTACAGGGATTCCAAGAACATACTTATCACTTCACCTTCTACCCTGAACTATTTTTACCTTAAGCACATGGTTGTGATACTTTTTATAAGGACATCAAGTGGTATTTTACCTAATCAAGTAATGTGATCTGAACATAATAAATTGTTGGGATTGGTGGGGGGCCATTTTTTAGCACCTGCATGTGCATGTGTTAATGTGTTGTTCCAGTGTTCCAGTGATTTTCAGATGTCCTCTACTATCTCATTTATTAAATTAATTAGATCCAAAATGTCTTCTGGTGAGTACTAGTTACACAGAGATTAGATGCAAAAAAATAATTTGTCTTAAGAGGAGTTTAACAATTCTTGGCACTTACCAGGAAGGTGTCAAATAAACAAATGTGATTCTTTTACATGTAAAACCTTTACATAGTGTTATATTAATTTCAGTTACCTAAGAACTTCTTCTGCCTGCCAAGCAGCATCTTCCTCTTCTTCCCAGGCATTTGTATTTTCTTGCCAAGTATCCAGGTCTCCCAGTTCAGGCTGAAACAAAGAGAAGTTCTAAGCACATGGAAAATTAAATAAAACACTGGTGTGTGACTGCCAGAGTGGCTCCTGGATGACAGCAAAGTTTCCTTAACATATTTTTAACCTTAATGCTTCAGACTTACAGAAATATTTGAGGTATGGCAGTGCTTCTCATCTTATGGTCCATGCTTTTTTTCCTGCTATAATACTGAGTTTTTTCAGTTGTCAAAGGGTTTTTTGGACAAAGACAGGAAGGAAGTAGTGGAGTGCATTTTTAGCAAGAGGAAGATAGATTGAGCAGATTAAATGAGTAGATAATGCAAAAGATTTCTGGCAGTTGCATGGACAAACCAACACGTACATCCACTTGTTTTTATGTCCAGTATCAGCTGAGTGACACTTTTACTACCTAAAAGTCCTTTCCTGAACTATTTTCATGAAGGACAGTGCAAGGAGGTGGAATGACCATTCTGTACTGCTTCCTGCCCGTACCCTTTTGTGCACAATGTTTATCAAAAGAGAAACACTGTTAAAAAAGGCAAAGGGCAAAGGAGGGAGAGCATCTCCTGCTAACTGGCCAGGCCGTTAGGCAACTAGACAATTTTTTCAAAGGATAAGGAGTAAAAATTAGGAGGCTGCTACATTACAATCCCTACACAAAAAGGAAGGGAGAAGCAGAAGGTTAAAAATGGGTCCAAAACAATATAGCAAAGTTAACTTAGAAGTTTTCAAAAAAGCCTTCTACTCTTTTGTTAGTAACTTACTGTGTAAAATCCAAAACTTACAGTTCATTGCTTTAGCAGATTTGCAAGCCCATAAGTATATGGAAGCTTCTGACCTTTTTATCACTGATCTGTCAAATTTCTCAGCAGAACATATTGGACTACTTCATTCTTCACTCAATTTTAAAACAATTTGCATCCCCAACTATTCCAATTACTTCCCACAATGGACATCTTAGGCAGACTATTCCTTCCCGTAGAGAATATCATTTAACTGACAAATACAAGATCAATACTTAAAGCATACTTACAGATTGGTGAATAAAAGGAATATCTTGTGTGGCTGCTAATCTGCTAGAGAATCCTGTGTTTCCCTCTGGAATCCCAAAATTTAAAGGCTCTCGTTTTTTAATAACTATCTGAAAATATTCAAAAAAAGGAACAAAAAAGTGGTAGATTAAGGCACTGCAGAGATTCCTTTGTGATCATATAACTCTGTGCCCATGAAAGTTCAGCTACACAACACCTCACTGTGTCTTAAGCCTGGACAGGTTCTTAAAGCAGCACAGCAAAATGAACTTGTAAGTGAAAGACAAATACAAAAGACAAGAACTCCTCCTCCCCGAACTAGAGTATTCTTTAGTCACATAGAAAACTGTGACTGTATCAAGACAGAGAATGGGCACAAAGAATCACAAATCAAACAGCCACATCTCCCAGTACTCATAAAAGCTACCAATTATGTGATATATTGCTTGGAGAAATCCTGCTTCTGTGACAGGTCACTTTAAAGTACTACTTTTGAGGACGGTGCTGTCTGCACAGTTGTACTGCACTGTAATGTCAGCTCTCTCACATACTCCAGTATCTGTGCAGTTTCAATAGCTGCAAATTTTCTGTCAACATTAACTAGTAAACTCTGTACTGGTTTGGCTGAAAAGTAGTGCTTTTCCCAAAAGAGTTGCCAAGATCACATATCCTTTTCACTTGTCTTGACCACAAGTCAGAAACTTTGTTTAGCCTACTTCGAGCCTCTTCTGCTTCCTAATGAGGCAGATCCACAGTTCCACTGCCTGTATGCTTGTATCAAACCAAGAAAGGAAACAGGACTAGACAATCTTATTGTCTTATTGAGCAATGACAAACTGTTATTTGACTGATGTTCTATTTCCAAATAGATCAGTATAGATGAGTGACAACATGAGCAGACTGTACCTCAAATCTGAGGCTTTATATTGAGACATTCAGTGGAAATAAACACAAATTCATACTGAATGGTGTTAATTTGGCCAAGTTAACAGGGATGTTCTTTACAGTGCCTGCAGTCATGCCTAGAGAGATATTTAATATAAACCCAGTGTTTAGCATGGACTCTTCCTCAGTTTTGTTCTGAACCTGAAGCTCATTCTATGAGGCAAAAAATGTCAGTAGATATAAAGAAGAAATCTACCTCTCCCTAGCTTTCTTCTACTCCCCAGATTTTGGGATATCCAAATCTTTAGAAGAATTTAGTCCACAAGATACTGCAGATTCTGAATGTACAGAAAGCTGACACCAGGATCACCTCCAGTTCATAGGACCACAGGAAAATTCAGGTTTGAAGGGGCCTCAGGAGGTTTGTAATCCAATCTCCTCCTCAAACCACTGTCACTTTAAGGCTGATGAAAGTACTCGGGGCTTTTCCACGTGGGGCTTAAAAACTTCTAGAGATGGAGGCTGCACAACTTCTCTGGTAATCTATTCCAGTACTTGTGAGGTTTTCCCAATTGACTCAAAGACCTGCAAGTACCCAGCTGAAAGATTCACAAATAGAAACAAAACCTGCAATCACCAGATTTTAATCAGCATTTATTTACAACCTTGATGCTCCTGTAGAGATGCCCTCCTGTCTTGTCTCCACAGTTAAAATGGATATTTGAAGAACAAGCTATTTTGAAATCAGTTCCCTAATTCCAGCCTCTCCAATATAACTTGGTGAAACAATTAACCATTGTTTTCTGAAACAGCAGGGCTGCTCCCTCAGACTTCAATGGAGCAAGACATTCAATGTCTTTGTTCAAATAAGGATATGAGCAAAAATGACTATAGAGGGTTCTCACATTATACTTCCAAGAACTTTTAGAGTATGAAACTATTCATAAGTTTCCAATAACATGAAGACTAAATATGTAAACATCTGATAGCATCACAATTGTTAAGATCTCAAAGGTCTTAACATTAAACATGATAAACTATACACCAACATCTATTCTCATTTACCAACAGCACCTTCTGTAAGTTGCCAATTTACTTGCTTTTATTTTAAAGCAAGGAAAACCCTCCATAAGTAAAGTTGAAAATGTAATACTTACTTTTTGAGTTTTTCTTATAGTTGGTGCCATATCTTTGAAATAATCAGGTTCCATTTGTTCCAAAGAATTTTGCTGAGCAGCCACATTACCATTACCACCTTCAATCTTCACACTTGTAGGTGCATCTTCATCCCATGAAGACCAGTCTTCTACTTCAGGCTGAATATAAGAATATGGTACAAATTAATATTATCTGCAGGTAAAATCTTGTATTTTTATAACTTGCTAAGATATATACTTAATACTGTATCACATATTATTATATCTTTCACATATATCACAATATAAGATATATTTCTTGGATATATACCAATTCAATATTGTAGGACTTCTATAATCACCCTGTTACAGGATTAAGTCACCTACCACTTTAACAATTACCTGCTTAGGAACAGATGAATAATCCACTGTGGTTGGCAAAGTTATTTGGTCTCCACTTAACTTTCGCCCTCTTCCAGACCTGAAAAAAAAATGTAGGATTCCTCCAAGCTCTGAAAACATGAGCACTAAGTTTAAAAAAAACAAAAAAGGAAGTCTGAGAACAGCACTACTGAAAATAGTCATGGCTAAAACATTCAGTGCTTCCATTACCTTTGTATTAACTACTGTCACTAAAAGTCTGCTAAGCAAAGGAATTTCATCATGAATTGAAAGTTGTTTTCACAAGAATATCAAAGTGCAATTTACTTTTCTAATTGCAGTGAAATAGAGGAGAAATACTTCTAAGAAACATGAAAATGGGCTAACTCATCTGCATAATTCAGTCACAATTTTTGGACTGTCAGTGCTTATGAAGCAAGCACTAGCAGTCTGTATTTGTGAAACATTTCTACTGTAAAATGAGAATATTTTCTATTTGTCTTAAATTTTAAGCTGTGTCTAACAAATAGCTTTCTGAGCTGCCTGATTTGAAAGCCCCTCTGAAGCTCTTTTTTCTTCAAAGTCTAAACAGAGGTAATACAAGATTATGCAAGTTAATAGCTTTAATTCAATTCATGCTTCTACTTAAAGAATACCATTTCAATGCATTTCAGCAACCATATAAAATAATTTTGATTGAAAACAACACTAACACGTTGCAAATAAATTATCTAGATATCTACTTCATGACGTACAAAGATCAGAATAATTAAAATATTCTTAGCTGACATTCATTTTATTTTAACACCTTACAACACAATAGAATGCAATTCTTTATGTTTTCCACAAAGAATGTAAGGTTCTATAGCAAAGCAGTCATGAAACTGACCATATGTGGCTTGGGAAATTTAATGTTTTTTTTCTTACTGATGAGAATAAACTGGGAAACTTCAATTTCTAGTTTCTATCCATTAGTTTTAGTATTAGAGAACGTACTACCAACTGACTAGCTGAATTGCTTGTAATATGACCTCTACTATATGCTGGTGAGTGACTAGATATATTTTTTCTACTCTAGACCAATATTCCTCCTTAGACAAGGTCAGGTGCTATAATCAAATTTTCAAGTTTTATATAATTAACTCTACTCGCTTTATAAACTGTTCCTTCAAGTTTGAAAAGCAACAGATTTTAGGGGTAAAGGAAAGTGAAAACACTGTTCCCTCAAACACATTAGAGAGCTTCTGGTTGACAAGATTTACTTGACATCTCTAAAGGAAATCCAAGCTTGGAAACAACCTCCTTCAGACCTCTACAGCATACACATCCTTAATACTATTTACATTTAATACTATTACAAGCCATCACTTCTGCACTGACTTTCTCTATATGATCTATGAGACAAGCAAGTGGCTGGTAACAACATTAATCAAGGCAAAATGGTAACAGGGCTGGAGTAGGAGGAAAGAGCTTTTGTCACACAACATCAGAAAGAATATAGTACACAGAGCAGCACCAAGGAAGGCCACAGATCTCCACTTCCTCTAGGAAGGGAACAAGATGCTTATAGGAACAGCTGCTCCACAGCCACCATTAAATACTGATCACTGCTCTGAATGCCAAATGCCTCAAAAATGATTGGATTTGTTTCTCCTTACTAATAAGTAGTATTCAGATTTCTCAGTTGGAGATAATTAGAGATTTTAAACGGAAGGAAGTTTCATGTCTTCTTATACTTACACTTTATTTCCTGAAAAATGGATTCAGGCAGTCTGTTGTTTATCAAGAAGAGCTTGAACTAAAGAAAGGACTAGTACTATTTGTAAGCTCTATGCTGCCTAAAAAGTTGCACAATCTCTACAGGCACTTGTTCAAATGAAAACCTAATGTAAACTATGTAATCTAAGTAAGTACTAGTTCATATCCATTGAATTAAAATGCACGTTTAATTAAATCACTTTTGCTGATAATTAGGCATAGTTGTATCGAGGAGTGCATTACAGGAAAACAAAATTTATCAAACTACACTTTGCTGATGACAGTGAACAGAAGAAACATCAGTTAGTGGTCTGAATTAATGTGATCCAGTGACTTGCTTATGTGAAAGACTTAATTTTCATTTCTTCATCTAAGTGTTATTAAGCAAATAAAGGGTTTTCTACTTAATGTGCTCTGAAACAGTTTCTCAGCTGTTCATTTCAAGATAATATGTCATTTAGAAGTTGGAAAAAGAATGAAAATACTGTCACTACACTTAGAAAATAATTATCTGCATATAAAAAATATAATTAGAGAAATGAAGGATCCACTAATACAGAAGTTATGATCAACTCTGTTTTGACTTCTTTCAGGATCTGAACAGCAAGTATTCCTAATTAAATTTGGAATTCAAATCACAGAACTAAGGTTGACATGTATATAACTGTATGCAGCGTTAAAATCTTTTATCTTTTTAATGCTTCACTATATCTGTAAGTGAATTTACCAACAACTCAAGAGCTTCCTTTTGTTCTTGGAATAAGTAAAGGTGAAGAGGAAATAAACAGTTATTTTGTGTCTACCACATATTCTGCATGCACTTTAATCCTCACTGGGAAAGTAGTTGTCATCATACAAAAAAGAGAATACATTTCTCTAGATTGGTGTTTGTTTATGTAAACAACATGCTGCAGAAGTGGCAGGAAGCTCAGCAGTTCATATGACAGCACAGTGCCAAGAATCGCCTCAGGTACTCTACTACTGTATCATTGAACTCTACTACTCCACATTAACTCTTGGGGAATTTTAGATTGCTTCAAAGTACTCCTCTGCAGCATTCATGAGTCTACAACTCAAAAGAACACCACATATGACTTAAAAGAGTGTAAAAAATAAACATTCTTCATCATTAAAAAGAAAAAAAAAGCTTGAACTTCAATCACGGTCCTCCAAAGTTCTGAAAGAATCTTCAATAGGCAGAAGAATGTGAAGTCTCAGGCAACTGTTTTTGACAAACAGGATGAGAATTGCCTACATTTGTAATGACAGCCTACTGACTGATGACAGAGTGGATGCTCCCATTAAGAGAATCTCTTGAAACACAAAGTATCACTTGCTAAGTACTTTCAAAACTGTGTAGCACAGCTTTTCTTCAAGTTTGACATGGAATACTTTTAAAAGCCATTTTAAAACCCTATCATAGCAGTTTACAAAACCTTATTCAGCTACCATACAACAAAATACACTCACAAATACACTACACAGACTTTTGGAACTCTGAACAAATAGCAAATGAAAGAATTCACTTGATTTAGTTTTCATCTGTATTGACTGTTTTGCAATTAGTAAAATCAGAGCTGGTAAAAGTGGTGGCTGGGTGCTGGGGGAAGGGCAGAAGTGTAAAAACCTGTAATTCAAAAACTGAAAAAAAAAAGGTAACCAAATTAAATAAGACTTGTTTACCTGCATATTAACTTTTTAATGAAAGAAAGCACTGCTGCCAGGCAAGTACAGACTTTAAAGAGTCGAAACTGTGTTATGGCCATGGTAAGAAACCCTTCCTGCAAAAGAAAAAAAGTTAGATGCAGAGGATTATACAACTTTATACAGTACTTAAAGCCAATTGCCTTAGCTGCTACTAAGCTAGGAGCAGTCAGTGAAACTGTATTAATGCAAGGAAAGAGAGCAGGTACTTGGGGCAAAGATGCTAGCTGCTTACTATCAGGATATTTCACTGATGTAAGTAATACAAGTATCTAATATATATGACCTTTAAAGAAACAGCACAAAGTCACAGGTAGGGTCAAAGTTAAAGACACTCCTAAAGGGGAAGCGTAGGCAACCATCTGCAGTGCCTGTGCAGCTGATCTGTTTCAGACACTACCAGTGGCACTGAACAGTGGCAATGCAAAACAGAGTACTGATCAGAGAGAAGTTCTTGCTTGCTTGAGCATATCAAGCATGTACAAATTATAGATTTAGTCATTAGGTGAAATTCCAAAATTAGCTCTTTAAATTTACCTTCCATTTTGATGGAAATGTATGATGAGAACACTGCTTATTTTAGAACTAGTCTCACTGAAAAATCATCCTCAAAAAAAGAGTGTTCATCCTGTGTGAACTACTGCACCAGCTAACCCACAAAGCTACTGATATTTCTCTGCCTGACTGGATCATGATAGCAAACACAGAAAAGAAAAAATTCATCTTTGGCTGAAGCCACTCCTGTTTGTAGCTATTTTTTTCAGTGACAATTTGATAATCTAGAGAATTTATATTTATCACATCACATCATTCCAACATACCACCTTGAATAGCTACAGACTGACTCAGAAAAATCTGCTGGAATTCAAGTATCTCTTTTCTCTCCTATAGGTGAACATTTCAGAGTAAAGAATAAGAGGTTAGGCTTCAGAAATAGCTTTGCATTATAAACATCTACACTTGTAACAACATATTCTGTGGCAAGTTTAACATACCTTCTGGTGAGAAGAGAAGGCAGCCCTGTGACATTTTCCTCAGGCCATGAGTATTCCATGGAAGGACAGCTTGATTTCAAATATGCTATGGCATTTAAATCACTTTTTATATTCCAGGCTTTAAGTTAGGAAGAGTCAGGAAGGTGGATCATTAGGTAGGCTGCTCCAATACTGTCCTGAGGATTTTATTAAAAAGGTACACAATGGGATTTGTGAGCTTCAAGGAGCATAGATGTATTTTTATTGGTGCTCATTTGCTAGATAACATAACTATTATTAAACACCGTAGTAATATAGTACTGGAAATAGTGCTTTACATGTAGTTCAGGACAGGACTTTCTGCTACTGAAAAATCATATGGGAGCTGATAAACAGGCCCTTTTACTACAAAATGAAAGGCTTAAGTTAGTAGTAACCAACAAATTACAGACTGCACTACCAAGCTGTAGCTCAGGAGAAAGGCTTCATAGGACACGTATCACCTCTACTTCAATATTTGTGTTATCGTATTTCATTTCATGGGAGGCTTAAAAATGTAGAGAACTTTATACAAGGTTGGATTGGCTCTTTATCTAACAGAATTAGAAAGCAGTCAGTTCCCACAAAGAAGGAAGAATGGACATTGTCCGATATATTTAGCTTTTAGTCTAAAAGACTGGACCATTATTTCATATTATGCTCAAACACTTCCTTACCTTTTAGTATGAGCAATGTTAACAATATGTAGGTTACAGAAGAATGCATCAGTCAATAATTTGAATGATTAGGAAATAATGGAAGTTAGTGAAAGAGTGAACAGTAATGGGATGGAAAGTTCTCTATCCTAAAGGTAGAAATTATTGCAAACTAACACTGAATTGGTGAAAGAAAATGTTATTTTTAGGAAAGGCAGCTAGAAGTTATCTGCCTGGGATGTGAGGCATGAAGAGCATGTGACCTGCTGAAATTATTATAAAGGTACATCTTTTCTGAAAGAAATACTGTTTAGAAGCTCACTCCACTCTACCAGAATTCATTCTTTTATCAGCTTGGGGGGCAGGAGGGAAGGAGCAGAACAGTACTCAATATTAGCAAGAGTAAAGCTCTTTTCCCTCATTCAGTCTATCTAACTGCTACACTGGACAGTACAGACAGACCCTAAATTTAAAAAACTCCTAACTACTGACTGAGAAGATTGTTTTAGGAAGCCACCAAAAACCTTTGCAGACTCAGTATTATTTATGCCTAAAGTGAAGGAACTAGGAAGATTACTCAAACCAGAAAACTAAAACTAGAACAAAAAAACTAAAACCAAAACAATGTTCAAGTGTTTCAGTTACCAATACATATATTTATATGTGTACATATAAATGAACCCAGTTTTCAACTCACCATTTTTTCATACATTGAATTGTATACTGTATTGAGTTTTCAATATAAAGTTAAACAATTGAAAAAAAGCATAATCCACAAGAACTCTGGCTTGCAGAATCAGTGGACTTGTGAAGTCCACAAGAACTAATCACCAAAAGTTAATCCATTTCCCAGGTCATTCCCATATAAGAGTGACTATATTTCCAGTATCACCAGTATGCCCATTTGACAGAGTTCAACATCTATCATTATGCCCATGACAATCAGATAACTTGCATTTCTCCACTTTCCATGTGTCAGGCAAAGATTTCAGAGTTACAATGAGACACATGGCCAGTTAACTTATTTGTGATAGAGATTTCATTTCAGCTGAGCTAGAACTATGCCCTTCAAAGGCTGGACTTGATGACCTTGGAGGTCTCTTCCAACCTTAGTGTTTGTGATTTAAGATCATAAGTACTGTTCTGCCCACCTCTTTTCTGAGCACTGATTGCAGTCTTCCCACTTAAGCTCCCTACACTACAAACTGTCAGATGCACAACCAGAGTTTTGTCAACAATATGCTATCCGCCAGCCATAGTAGTGTTAGCAATCATTTACCTTTAAAAACAACTTTCCTCAATGTATCTGCTTTTTATACTGCTATTTATGATATGAAGCCAGATGTATGTATTTATTTAATTAATATTATTTTTTATAAATTAATTTAAAACACAATCTTGAACCAATTATTGTCCCAAGGTAAGAAAAAGTCAAACATTTTTCCCTTTGTCTGAAACAGCACTTGAAATGTGAGCATTGTTGCTCCAAAAACAGCACTACCTGAAAAGTTAAAGGTGTGCTAAAGGTTTTGAGTTTTGTTTGGTGCCTTTTGGGATTGGGTTCTTTTGTGCTTGGGAGTTTTTTTATGTTAATTAAATTTCCCAAGGTAAACCATTTTATATTTGGAAGTACTTGGATGAATACAGATGTACACAGAACCCAAATTTTCCTCAGTTCACTGCAAACTTAATTCACACGATACCATTATACTAAACTGAACTGAAAAAACTTTTTCATCCTCTTCTTGTCCATCTTTCTCAGACATTGGAAAGAAGCACAGCCATGTACCTTCTCTCTCTCCTGGGAAAAATACTGAACAGTGTAATGCTACATGGCAGGCCACAACAGTCTTTCTTTTCTTAAGCCTTTCCTTGATAAACAATCCCAAAAGGAACCATAAGTGTATCAACAATCAATTATAACACAGGATGACAGACACATAACGCAAAGTTGCAGTGCTACATCAAGAATCCTAAAACATTTCTTAACAGATAGAGGCAAATGTGAAATACTGGATTAAAATTCAGAAAATCTGGTAAGGGTTGTCTGCCAGCCTGATACATCCTTCTGTGTATCACACCTCATGCCTCCACTTTCCATTTATAAAACAGGAGAGATTTCCTTCTCCCACTACTGGAATTGCTTTGTTACATTTATGAGACTTAGGGTCAACTGAACTTCCATTACAACAGATATAAAAAAGCAAATAAATCAAGACATGAATCCTAATCAATTTAATACTCATGGTCAACTCAGCAATTCTGTAACAGACACCAAATTTAGCTGGAGTTTGACTTGTGCATCTCATACGGTCTTCCACTGGTAAAAAGTCACAACAGGTGTTCACATGGAACATGAGCCCAGAAAAGACTAAAAGACAACAGCCACGAGATGTTAGACATTTTAGAACCAAGTCAGAAGAATGAGGAAACTCAAACATTATAGGGACCCGTAAAGGAAATAGAATGAAGGGAGGCAAAGTTCAGAATTTTATTGAACACTTTTACTTTGCTTACAGCTTGCAACAGCGGCCTCATTAGCACTCCTGGCACCTCTGACTTCACTGAATGTAGCCAGCATAGTGCACCCTCAGGTGGATTGGTTAATCAACTATGGTGCAATAACTGTTTATCACTGTACAATAAGCACACTGGCACCTGGAGAAACACTTCCTCTTTCATATCTAACTGTACACACAAATACCACTTAAACAGGATTTCTACAGACAGAGGCAATTCTAAAATAAAGTCACTTTGGGGCACTAAAATTATTTTAGAAACTTGTTTCCTCCTAGAGAACTCATCTTTTACTGCCACATCAGCTTTCTTTCGTATCAGCTCACTTGTAACTCTGGAATGTAAACACGAACACACCTTGGAATCAGTGATTTTAGCCCATATTAAACACAGCTAGATAAATAACCAGACAATGATGCTTAAAATAACTTGTCTGAAACTGAAAGGCTCCCCTCCAATTTACATAAGAAGACATCAAAAACGCTCCACCCTCCTAAAGCAAAACAAGTTGTTCATTTCCTAGTACTAAAGACTAACATGGCCTTGAGTGTTTACATTTGTCAGCACCAAAAATCCATACTGGTTCAGTAGTGCTTTTGTGCTGTCACTAGAACAGCTGACAGCTGACCCTAGCAAAGTTTCAGTGGTAAGGACAGAATTTTTTAAAAGGGGATCCTGTATGAAGTTCTGGTAGAATGGCCACATCAGAGATCAGAAGTAGGTTTGTAGGGAGATGGAATTTTATTAAGATTAGTAGATAGAGATAAAAAACCTGTTTTCAAACACATAAACCCTCCTCCAAATCATGTATGTTACAAGATGTATAAAGACACTTTAAATTTTAGAAAGACAACGCAATGATTCAAGAACTGCTTTCAATCAGGTACTGAAAGACAAAACCAGCACTTCCTGCATTTCAAAGACAGCAACCATCACTCTGTAGCCTACTCAGAGGTTCCACTGCCCTCTTCCTGGTTGATTTGTTTGGTCTCTTGGTTCTTTCATCACTTTACACAGAAACAATATTGGGAACACATGTGTGGAGAAAAAAAAAATCCTGTCTTGACCACTGAGTTTGATAAGTAGATAAATTAAGTAGCAGCATGACTGAACCCTAAAGCCATGCTATTATGGCATTAGGGAGAGAAGCAGAATGAAAAGGGAAGCTCAGGAGGCATCTCCTCTATCTATTTGTAGGTAAGTGATTGTGGGATGTTTGTAAAGGTACTGTAGTTTCAACACTAGTGTTCCAACTTTCAGTGCAAATACCCTAACTAGGCAGTTGAAGTGGCTGGGACAGAAGACATCTCACTCACATTAATCACAGGCAGAATAAAGTCATCCAAGACACTCAAATCCAGAAAGAGATACTATTGAAAGCTGCAAAAGATACCAAAAGTTAAGACAGAATGTCTGTCTCTCTAAATAAAGGCAGCAAAAGTTGGTGACTGCTGGCAATTCCTCAGTTATTTCTAGACACTAAATACTCTGATATACAACACACAGGGTTTCAACTCTTTTTTAAACGTGTTAGTCCCAGAGTCATAAAACTTCTGCAGTAATACCACCACATCTCACCCCTTCCTCTCCAAGAAACTGAATATAGCTACAACCTCACTAATGTGAACTCCTGAAGCTTTATGTCTTGAATTAAAATAAATTCTACTCTTCAAGGCAATATTAGTTAAGATAGAAAGTTTATGTCTACCATTATTCTTTGACAATTCCTTACCTCTATATGCCACTGTCTTGTGAAAACCAGCATACAGAACACAGCTTGAGGTAGCACAATCTTGTGAGACCACACTATAACTTCATTCACTTCATAACTTTGCAACAAGTCTTTTACATAATGCCCTAATTCACGTAACTCACTTCACAAAACTGAAGTTCTCAGACATAGAACCAGAGTTTAAGAGACCCCAGTTCTGTTCCACTCCTTATTTGCCATCCTGAACCTAAGTTTTCTGTAACTACGTGCAATGCCAGAAACAACAAATTAACACACTCATTGTTACTACTACAAAATCATCTTGCCTGTCTTGACGAGACCAGCTATTTACAAATGACACTACAAGACGGTCTAAAGAAGTCTCTGCAGTGCACATGTGTATTTCCACAGAAATAAAGCTCCACAGAAATATAGCTCCACAGAGCTATAAAGCAACAAGCTGTGCCATTTTTCATTAGAGATGCAACTCAGGCACTTACACTGTGAATTTATGACCAAATAGCAGTGCCCTACCATTCTACTGACCAGCCGAGTCTTGAATATTATTAGAGACAGCACTGAAACCAAATAGTAGCACTTAATTTTTCTGTGAGTTGTTAGAGATTCTGAAGTATTTAAAAGCATGCTAAGGAATTTTCATTCTATGTATTATTAAATTTGCTCGTCAGCGTAAACAGTAGGTAACCCCAAGCAATGCTGTCCCACCACGAGTTCGGACAGGTTGTGTACCCTCTCTCTTTCCCACAGGGTGCGAAGCCGCTCAGTTCCCAAACGCTGCCTGTCTACCACATCATGTTCTTCGCAGCCCATGAGATCCCCCCCACTTCGCCCCGGAAGAGGCCCCAGCCGGTCGGGCAGAGGCCGCGGGCCTGGCGCTCCCGGCCAGCCAAGCAGCCCCGCCGCTGGGCGAGGGCCGCGGGGCCGGGGAACCCGAGCACAGGGCAGAGCGGGGCGGCGGCGCTGCTGCGGGAGAACCGCGCGGGCAGCTCTGCCCCGGGAGGGAAGGCGCCGAGACCGGGCCCCTGCCCAGCAAGGCGGAAGCGGCACTCGGCAGCGTAGGAACCGACCCTTCCCGCTCACCTGCCCCGGGGGGGAGGCCTCGCCGGGGGTCGCGGGGCTCCAGGGGCCGAGGCGGCCGCTCCCGCAGCCTGCGGCCGCCCCTCATCCAGAGCCGGGCCCGCGCTGCTCCGCCGCCACCTCGCGCGCCGCCATCTCGGCCCCGTCACCCGGGAAACACGCCCGCCCCTTCCGGCCGCACCGCCTCCCGTGCGCTCCGCTCCGGCAGCGCCGCTCGGGCCGCGGGCAGCCCGGCACGGCTGTGCCCCAGGCGCTCGGACGGCCCGGGGTGCCCGCGGCCCGCCCCGCCAGCGGCCCGCGACCTCCCCCGCCCGCCTTCCTCCCGCCCCCACAGGGGCTGGGGGAGGTCTGAGCCGGCTCTTCGGCCTTCCGGGGAACTGTGAGAAAAAGGCGTTGGACTGCAACCGTATCGGGTTGCTGCACGCGTGGCAGTAAAGGTGTTCCTCTGTAGTCGATAGGATGCTGAGCTGTAAACTTGGATGTTACTAAAAAACAAACATTGTTTGAAATCGCTTCTGACAGGTGCTACCCCAGTGTCCCAGTTTGTTCACCAACTGCTTGTCCATTTTAATGGCTGGTTAAGTGGTGTTAAGGTTAATGTTAAGGCATTCCAGAGCTCTGTGTAAGCCTCCAGTTGTGTTACACTCGGTAGGTGAGGTAAAGAGGATGTTTGTCTCTTTCTCCCATGGAAATCTTGTCAGTTCTAGAGCAGCACTCCTTTCAACTCAACTCCAAGCTGTAGCGCTCAGTTCTTTGTGTGGTCTTAAAATATCTTCCAATAAAGACTTCCTGCCACGGAATTTACTCAGCTGCTGTATTCCCTATGTGTGTCGGGCAGTGGGGAGATGAATGAAGGATGATGGCTCTTGTGAGGAGGCACTGGTATCAGATAGATAGAGTTCCTTCATTTCCCTTTTCCCATGCCCTAACAGACACCATGACTGCATTTCCACAACTCTTCATGAGGAAACAGGCCCCAAAGGGACAAGGAGAAAAACATGATCTATCTGACCATGGGGCAAGGACCCTGTTACCCAGGACACAGGAGGGGTGATCTGGGGGCAGCTCAGAGTCCTGACTACCAGGCAGGTTTCTGGTGATGAGGCCGATCTAAGGACAAGCCAGTGAGTCTGCACTGGTCCAAGATCAGTAGAGAGCATAGCAAGTCAGGACATGATTGTGGCCAAGTTTATGGGCAGCAGTCCTATGATGTTGAGGTGGGGATTGACACCCTTATGCCTGCAGAACCCAACTTCAATAAGAGAAACACGTATGCAACGCTGGCTTTAACATTAAAACCATTGCAAAAGTATTAGTGTAGCTGAGGTATACCTTTCAGTATAACTTTCTACCTAAAGAAGAAACTGAAAGAAAACCTTCATCTACATTAAATCAGAAAAGCAAATTGAAAAGCATGAAACATTGGGAAAGGTCAGGCTGTAAGGGTAGCAAGTTACAATTCCTTCCAGAACACATACAGGTTATGGCATTACAAAATATATATTAAGGGAATATGACAAAATGAGAAGGGCAGAATTTAACATTTCCTTTCTTACGAGAAAGAAAAGGAAATTTGATTTCCTTTCAGGAAGGGAAACGAAATCTTACGAAACTGAAAAGAAAGCCTTACAAACATTCTGGAAAGGAGATATGATCAAATGAAATGCAGTTGAAAAAAAACCAAAAATCCAGAAAATCAAGAGACTTCGTGACTACAAGAAAATGGACCGAGATTACATGTGGTGCAGTGCAAAGGACCAAAACAGGTCAAAACTAACCTCAGAGGTTTTGCAAAAGCAGGGCAAAAAATCAAGGAGGAAGATACATCTTGGAGGGGATGATATCAGGGACATGGCGTGGATACATTAAAAAAAAAAAAAATTAAAAAAAATTGCCAAAGTCAAAACCCATGAAAAGGCCTCTGCACCATCAAGTGCAGGGACATACACCAAAGCATTCCCAATTCATCCCCATTGAAATATCAAGATTTCGTTTCCCTTCCCGAAAGGAAATAACATTTCCTTTCGGGAAGGGAAACGAAATCTTGCGAAACTGAAAAGAAAGCATTGCAAACACTCTGGAAAGAAGAAATGATCAAATGAAAAGCAATTGAAAAAAAACCAAAAATCCCAAAAATCAGGAGATTTCGTGACTACAAGAATATGGGCCGGGATTACATCTCGTGCAGTGCAAAGGAGCAAAACAGGCCAAAACTAACCTCAGAGATGTTGCAAAAGCAGGGGAAAAAGTCAAGGAGGAAGACACAACTTGGAGGGGAAGATATCAGGGACATGGCATGGATACTTAAAAAAAAAAAAATTGCCAAAAGCAAAAGCCATGAAAAGGCCTGTATGCCAACAAGTGCAGGGACATGGACCAAAGCTTGCCAAAATTGATCCTCGCTGAAGGCCAAAACAGAAAAGAAGGACTTACGAATACTCTAGAACAGAGATACCATCAAAGGAAATGGAATTGAAGGAAAAAAAATTGGGAAATTTAGTGACTACAAGAAAATGGACCAGAAACGAAATCTTGCAAAACTGAAAATAAAGCCTTACAAACACTCTGGAAAGGAGATATGATCAAATGAAATGCAATGGAAAAATACCCCAAAAATCCCAAAAATCGTGAGATTTCGTGACTACAAGAAAATGGACCGAGATTACATGTGGTGCAGTGCAAAGGACCAAAACAGGTCAAAACTAACCTCACAGATGTTGCAAAAACAAGGGAAAAAATCAAGGAGGAAGACACAACTTGTGTGTTAAGAAGGCTACTGGGACTGAAGATTTCACTACTAGTTATATAGCATGTGACTGTTGCCTTACAAACTGGCTTTTACCTCTTCACCTTATTCATGTTCTTCATGGTTTTACAGCACATCCTCAGAGTCCCCTGCTCCTTCATCCACCACTCTCCAAGTGTTACCACATGAGCTCCTAGATCCAATGTACACAATATAAAAACCATGTCCTGGATACCTAAGCCCATCAAAGAAACAGAGGAGAAGAGCTGAAATTCATTAAAACCTTGGCCACTGTGCAGCCTGCAGGACAGTGTTCAGTGAGCAAGCAAGGCACACGCTGCTGCAAAGACAGCAGTGCCCCATATTGACTGCACCCCATAGGCTCCATAGCTGTGGAAAAATATTTCCCTTTATGTATTTTGAATCTTCTGTAGCCATAAGTGTGTTGTTTGTAACCTCGTATTTCAGTTTTGTCAGACTCTTGTCACCCGCCTGCCAGGTACCTGCTGTAGCAGGCGCAGGGCCTGCAAGGCCTTCCTGGTGGTCAGCAGCCTAAGATAGCAAATGCCTGGTCATGATGGCTGGACCTTAGAAGTTCCTCTCCTCCCTTCAGACCCTTGCTTATCTCTCTGTAAGACTGTAGATCACTTTCCTTGTGACCCTTGCCACTGGACAATTCCCAAAACTCCTGTACCCTATATAAAGAGCTACTTTTGCCCAGTTTGGCAGAAGAGCTGAGATCTGAGACCTTCATTTCAATAAAGACATCCCTGTGGAACCTTTTACATCCTTCTCCTCTCTCTCCCTGTGTCTGCCCAAGGCACTTAGCAAGCAAAGGGCTGAAATCTAAAGAGCTGATCTCACTAAGAGCTGAGCTTGCTGAGGTAGCTTGCAGCTCTGGAACCTGCCTGAGGGGCCTGGACAGGTCGGACTTCTCTGTCTCAGATACCCACGGCAGCCAGGGTTGGTGAGATCCCGAAATGCCAGAGTCGCCTCAACCCACCATGTGCGGTCAACCTACGACCTCCTCAGCTCCACAGTTGCCTTCCAGCTGCTCTCCAAGCTCCTCTTCCTGGCAGGCTTTCCTGGGAGAGGCTCTGTCTGCAGCCAGCCCCAGTGCCAGTCCCTGAGCTGGCTGAGCTGCTGAGGGCTGGCCCAGGCCTTGGTGCAGCACGTGGGAGGACACGGATATAGCAATGCTGTGATGGCCCCGACAAGGGGAGAGAATAATGAGGAGGACTCCATGGATATCAGAGGGCTAATTAATTACTTTATTACACTATATTATTCTATACATCTAAAACTGAACCTGCCAAGCACTCAACCCTGCACACACTGCACTGAATCTCATGACTGTCAGCTGACAGTCGCGACACACACCCACGATAGGCCCTGATAGGCCAAGGAAACAAAACACCATGACTTTGGGTAAATAATCTCCATGTTGTATTCTACTTTTGCACAAACACAGGCACATCAAATTATAAGAATTGTGTTTTCTTTCTCTGAAGCTCAGAGACTGTGAATCCCAGAAATATTCTTGGGAAGAATTGTGCCTCGTTTTTCTCTGTGGAGAGAAATGTGGGGCTACACACGGAGGCCAAGCGTCCCTTGCGTGACCACAGCTGTGTTTACCCAGGAAGGCCACAGGAACAGGCTGAGCTCTGCAGGAGCTGGGCTGAGGGCAAAGCACTCAGCAGCACGTGATGGTGTACGCAGGGGTTTTCAGGTGAGGGAAGAGACGAGAATGTTGACGCCATGTTCAGAAGGCTTGATTTATTATTTTATCATATACATTACACTAAAACTATACTAAAAAGAATAGAAGGAAAAGTTTCATCTCAGAAGGCTGGCTAAGCTAAGAATAGAAAGAAATGAATAATAAAGGTTTGTGTCTCGGACAGAGAGTCCAAGCTAACTGGGCTGTGGTTGGCCATTAATTGTAAACATCCAAGATGGGCCAATCACAGATGCACCTGTTGCATTCCACAGCAGCAGATAACCATTGTTTACATTTTGTTCCTGAAGCCTCTCAGCTTCTCAGGAAGAAAAATCCTAAGAAAGGATTTTTAATGAAAAGATGTCTGTGACAGCAGCATGTGCAGCTCAGGATTTTCCAGCACATTCCTGCCTGTTGCTAAAGGCAAGCCCACAGGATTTCCAAAGGAATAACTTCATAGCAAAAAAAGAGCATTGCTATGCTTCACACAGTACAATAGCATAAGTGGGAATTTGTAAGTAAATATGACAGCTTAACATCTTTTGAACTATGACAGCTGTAAAATGTCAGTTTCATTCTTGTAAAAAGAGGGAGAATTGTGAAGAGTTCAGATGTTTAATTTTACCTCCATTAATAATTCTGATTTTGTTACTGACAATAACCAC